CGTCTGTCGGACCGTTAGCGGTACCGGGAGCCCAGACTGGGAACTTTCCTTCTGCCAGCACTCGGTCACCAGCCTTGTCCCGGTACACAGATGAGGGAGCTGCAGCCGGGCTTAGAGACTGAGAAATGTATTGAAAGGACAGGATCTGCAGCGGTCGGGTCATTCCTGTAAGTTCTTACAGTGCGTCTCCTTTCTAGGAAAAATGACTTCTGAAAGCAGCTCTTTCATGAAGGGTGTGGTGCTCGGAGGGGCCTTCTGCATGTTGGTGACGCTCCTCGGACACATTAAGGTGGGCCACGGGACTAGAGCCCGTCACCACGAGCACCATCACATCCAGGCTCCTAACAAAGCAGATGTGCTAAACCTTTCAGAAGGTGAACGCCTGGAGCTTAGCAAGAGCGTCCGTGTTTACTGTATTATCCTGGTGAAACCCAAAGATCTGGGGCACTGGGCTGCGGTGAAAGAGACGTGGAGCAAGCACTGCGACAGGGCGGAGTTCTACAGCTCCGAGAAGGTCAAAGTGTTTGATTCTGTGGCCGTCAACACCAACGACATGTGGGTGATGATGAGGAAGGCCTACAAGATCACGTACGAGCGCTATAAGGATGAGTTCAGCTGGTTCTTCCTGGCCTACCCGACGACGTTTGCTATCATTGAAAACCTCAAGTACTTCTTGCTGAAGAAAGACCCCTCGCAGCCGTTTTACACCGGCCACACCGTGAGATCCGGTGACCTCGAGTACGTCGACGGCGAGGGAGGGATCGTCCTGAGCGTGGAATCGCTGCGCCGCCTCGCCGGCGTCCTGGAGGACCCCGACAAGTGCCCGGAGCAGGGGGGGATGATCTGGAAGCTGGCCGAGGACAAGCAGCTGGCCATCTGCCTGAAGTACACGGGCGTGTTCGCCGAGAACGCGGAGGACTCGGAGGGGAAGGACGTCTTCAACACCAAGCCGGTGGGCGCGCTCATTAAGGAGGCCATGTCCAGCCACCCCCAGCAGGTGGTGGAGGGCTGCTGCTCCGACACGGCCGTCACCTTCAGCGGCCTGGCCCCCAACCACATGCACGTGATGATGTACGGCGTGTACCGGCTGCGGCCCTACGGCCACACCTACGACGACGCCCTCGTCTTCCTGCCCCCCGAGGGCTCGGACAACGACTGAGGGCTGCGCAGCGCCCGGGGTCTGCTCCTGCCCCATCTGGGGTTCCTGGCTCACGGCACTGGTGGACGAGTTGTTTTGCACACTGAGGTTTGGTAAAGCTTTTCATTTTAAACGTGAAGGAGGCGGTGAACTTTTTTTTCCCCTAAATATTTTATACAGAAATGCTTCTGGCTTTTGACAGGGCTGGAAGGGAAGATGTTTATGGGAAAAGGAAATGAAGTTTATATGGGGGGGTTTGTACATGTAAATATTTATTAATGACAACTCAAATGAACTTTAGTCTATTGCTATAAATATATTTTTGCAAGAATTCGCTTCTTTCAATTCTTCCAGGCATTTCTAGAATGTCTTTATATCTTTCTAAGATGTACCAAATAAACCTGACCACAGATTCAGTCTCAAAGACTAAATTTAAGCTATTTCCTTTACACTAAACCACACAATAATAGTTTGAGCCATGCTGTTCACACCTCTCTCTTCATGTGCAGCTTTCTAATCCAGTAAGGAATTAGCAAGGAGGAAGCTGACAAGAGATTTGTGAGGAAGTTGCAGCAGAATAATATGAAGTGACCTTTGGACAGCTGATTTTAAGTGGACAAAAGGAAGCGATAACTCTATTTGAGGGAGCATTAACCTGCCCAGGCAGCCTGTTAGCACAAGAGTAATTGCTCCCTTAAAATTTCACCTCAAGCGTAAGCAGATAAGAGTGAAAACAACACAGAACCTTTATTCTAGTTAGAAGTGCTAAAAACACTTAGAAGGAAGAAGGTGGTTAATTGGAAATAGCAGTGTAGTGTAGATCCATTTACAGGTATTTTAACACCCAGATGCAGGAAGAGCAACCTGTGCTTGCACTCCTAACCTCCAATTACACAAACCAGGCTACATGCACAACAAAGCAGCACACAGAACTCCCCCACACTGGGGTTGGGGGAGTGCTGGGTTTTTTCCTTGGTCTTTTAGTTTGTTTTTTTTACAACTGAGTGCACTTCAGATCAGTTTTATACATGTTACCAAGTCACGCTCCCTTCCACAGCAAGTGGAAATAAACAGCACTTCAAGATTTACTCCATGGTCCTGGGTGTTCCAGGACTTAAGGAAGGTACTACACTTACCTGCTGCAGCAAGGTCCATCACAGGCTCTGTTGGTGCTGCAGCATCCACAAAAGACCCAAGAGAAGATTCCAAGTTACCTCACCTTCCCTTCACCTTTCCTGCCCGGGGCCAGGTGAGGAACTGAAGCAGCTGCTTCCAAGCCCATGGGACTACCCATCTTTTTTTAAGCATCAGGTCCTTCATCTTTGACAGGAACAGCAAGACAGCCACTGCTGCAGAAGGGGAACCTTGTCTCACCTTCTGCACAGTCTCCTCCCTGTCAGTCAGAGCTGAGCTGACATGCAAGACAAAAACACATGTGATTGCTGCCAAAATCTAGATAAAACTTCAACTAGTGTTTGACATTTTGCTAAACTGATATACCAATTAATTTAAGCATGACTTGTATCTCCTTACAGAATCATTTTTAAAAGGTTAAACAGTTGGGAATACTCTGACAAAGCCAGATACAGGAAGTACCATTTTGATTGCAGTGGTGTTTCTGACATTGCAAAACATTCTGACTCCACTGCAACAGCAGCAGTCATAGGGCAAGTCAATGAAAAAGAATGGGAGTTCCCAGTTCAAATGGGAATAAATCTATTTATCACAGATTTGAGAGATGCTGTAACACAAGAGAAGACAGGATGGAAGGGGAAAAGGAAGCCCCAGAACTCAAGACTAGCTCGTTTTATGCAAAACAAAAAAAAGAGCTGCTGAAGCACAACCCAATTCTCCATAGCAGCAACAAGAAATTGGTACGTTTATAGTAGTAAAATGCATTAAAACATTCATTAGCATTCTGAAGGGAAGGTCTGAGGTGTGACCAAGCTCTTTTCTGTAACACTGCTGTAATAACCACCCTAATGTTTGTCTCCCTACAGGAATGGTTTCACATTTACCCTGTCATTTTCAAAAGTACAATCTTGTAAATAATGTTACAGGAGAAACTTCAAAGTAGCAGGTATTAGGTAACACATACCATCTGCCCTGTCTTTATTTGCCTTGAGAGTGATATGGAGAACACCTCTGCCAGCATCTTCTGTGAAGGTCCCAGGGTGGGGAAACCAAAGGTGCAGGAGAGCATCAAGAGGAAGCCCCTGCACAGCCAACTACGCTCTGCCGTTACCAAATACAAGTGTTAGAACAGAGACCTGAAATATTAACAAATGCTTCCAGAGACAGAGTTGTGGGTGGTAGACTGTAAAGTTTTCTTAGTTTATTAGACGATTCCATGGCACAGGCTGTTTTCCACAGGCATAGCTTTGGGAATGCAGCTGCTGAACAGAGTTGGATTATCCCAATGCACAGTGCTCTTTACCCCGTCCTGGCGCTGGGCAGGCGTGTGGCAGTGTTGCACAAGCTGTGAGCTCTTCTAAAGTTCCACCTGCAGAAGTCACTCCTGGCTACGCTGATAACAGTGTTTTACTACCATGCCTTTGTTGAACAGTGATTTTTTTTTTTGTTTCTGCTCCTAAAATAAGAAGGCAAAGAGGGAGTAGAGCATCAGGCACCACGTTGGCACACGCTCCGTTTGGAGTACGCCCACCACTGCTATGATCTCCACTGTAAGGAGGGTGGCATCAAACAGTGTTGGCAGGTAGAAAATTGAACACATATTCTTCAGATATGAACTAGCATAAAAGAATTTCTAGTCCACAAACCAGTTTAAGTTCATAAATCCTACACAGATAAATGCGTATTAAAAAAGAGAGAATCCTTAAGTAAAATACTGAAGTTAATGCTGTTAATAAATTAAGTTAAAAAATAAATGTCAAAAAAATTATTTCTCCATATTCAAGAAACAGGTAGACTAAAGTGATGTTCATCAGAAGGAAGAAAAAAACCTGAAACATTCCAGAGGTTTTATAAACTGTATTAATTATATTTCACATACACTTTATATTGCTCTTTTTGGAGAGCATAAAAATGTAAACATCTCTTGGCTTTTTCCTCCTTTTTGTTTAAAATAGTCTACTCACAGTCCCTGCAGGATCTTTCCATCAGATATCTTCAGCCACTGAAGACTTGGGTTTAAGACAAAACAAAAGAACTGTAATAAAAAGAAATCTAGAAAACTATTGTAGCCTAACAGTACTTTCGCATTCACTTGATTTATTTAGCATAGCCACAGAACAAAATAATTTGTACATTCAGTCACATTAAAAACAAGGAATTACAAAGCAGTCCACATTTAATCTAAGTGCATTCCTTTGGAGTAACAGTTCTGTTTGCTTCACTTGTATGTCTTCATATGCCAAAGGCCATCATTTAAATAGTGGATATTTTCAATACCAATCCCTTTGTTGACCTTCTCACTGTAGGGAAAAGGTACACAAGTATTAGCCAAGTATTAGAGCAATAAAAAAAAAAACAATACTTAAAGTAGAAAATGCAGCACTTGTGAACTGGAAGGGGAGATGCTATCCTCCACCAAGGCAGGATCTTCAAGAGCAGGTGGACAAGAAGCAAGTTTGTTATTCCAGGTAGCCACACTGCTGAGTGCTAAGAGGCCAATATTTACCTCCCATGTTTTGTCAACAACCCCTCACAGTATTTTTAGCTACTTCTTTGTGGGAAGCAGTTCTTCAGACAACACTTCTGCTACTTGTCTTAATTTTAGCATTTTTCTGTCAAAGTAGCACCAGCAGCTGGAAGCAACTCTCCCCCTCCCAGCACAGGTGGTGCCTGTGGAATCTGACAAGTTCTGGTTCCAACTGTGCCACAGACACCATCAAATGTGTGTAAGCCACTTGGCTGCTAACTGCAGGACACTGCCTACTTAATAAAGAATTACAGAGGCTAGGGCTTGCAGGATATTACAGACATACTCTCCTTCTCCATCTTTTGAGTCATGTCATCTTTTAAGAATTACTGTTGTGTGCATTGGATTTGGATTATATCTTTTTTTTTTTCTCCAGTATGTCATTCCACAAAAAAACCTAGTTTTGTCACAGCAAACAAGACATCTCCTAATTCTAGGACTGAGAACAAGTCTCATTCCCCTGGAGAATGTAAGGTACTGCATTTAAGTTAAGTGTTCCATTACTTAGACAATTTGTCCAGAAGTAATTAAGAAGGAAAACAATGCTGCATTAATTGCATTAACACATCATCTGTCACAATCACACCCAGTGACTGAAAGCAAAGGGTTCACAACTCCTGGTTTGAACCCCACCACACAGACACGTGCTGACAGGGCTGTGTTCTCCTCTCCAGCTCACGCTGCTCCTCAGGGGAACACACCCCTGGCTGCAGGGCTGCTCCATCTGAAGTTTGGATCAGGAATGGGTTTGCAGGACCGCAGCAGCTCGCTGCAGACAGGACTTAGGCAGAAGTGGCTGCTCTTTCCACCTGCTCTTGATGCACTGCAAAGAATCCTGAGGAATGCAATTCCTCAGCAGCTACAGCAGGTCCAAATCCAGGCTGATGCAGTCCCACTCTATCCCTGTCCTCTGTAACACATTCCCACCTCTCTCCCTTGTGCTACCATCACTACTGAGGACTACAGAGTGACCCAGTAGAGAAGATGAACCTGCTGAGAGTTCTCCCCACAATAAAGAGTGGCTTGTTTTCATCAAAATCAGCTTCCCCACCCACACAGGTGCTAGGCAGGGCTGGAACCAACAGAGCCCAAACCTGCTGGGTGCACCTCACATCCTGCTGCGAGACCTTCTAGAACTTAAAACGATCAAGTGGTTTAGCTGCTTAGAGATAGCTCAGCACTATCTCAATGCCAAGAGCAAATAACATACATTTCCTTTTTCTGTCTCTTTTCCTTCTCAAGTAGTTTTCAGTTGATGTTTATTCCCTGAACAGCCCTCTACAACTCGGTCCCTGCAGACAAAAGTCACTTCAACATCTTCACATCCCCTCAAATCCAAATTACATCTCTTGCCCAGCCCAGATACTAAGTACCCTATACAAATATTTCTTTGCTCAGCAAGATCTTTGAGAACATGATCAGAGAGCAAAAAAATACTAACATTCAGCAGTAGTACTAGTGTTGTGCATCTTCAAATCCATATTCACAAGAAAAGAGCTATTTTTATTCAATTTGATAAACAAGTAAATAGGGAAGGGATTCCCTGCTCCTCTTCCCCTGAACGTGAATCAACAAAATGAAATCCTAGAAATTTCTGAAGGACAGATGCAGCATCAGTGATGCAGTAACCTTGACAGTGGTGCTTACATTCCAAACTAAAACAGGAGAGTAGCGACATGGGACAGGTTACATTTCATATTTTTGAAGCACTTACATGTCCTCAGCTGACATCTTCATTACTCCCACACACAATGCATGTTGTTTGCCCTCTGCCATTATTGCCTACATGTTATCGCTAAGGAAAAGAGGTTTTTATATAAAGCTGTTTCAGAAAAATAAAAAACAATGAGGAAACAACTTTCTTTCCAAAGTTTCAAAATCCCCTGCTGGACTTTTACCCCTTTAGCAATTCTAGAGCTCTAGCTCTTTAAGATAAGCAGAACAATGGACTGCAGTTAACAATTGGAGCACAGTGTGTAGAACAAAGCATGTATTTGTGAACTTCAAACAACAATTAGAGAAAAAGACTCTACACTCCCAGCACTACACTCAGAGATGACAGTCACCCTTTCTGAAACAAAACTGCACGTGTTTCTGGAGCCATTTTAGATTCCAAGGCACAGAAGAATTGAGACACAAATCTAAACAGAAGTACTGAAATCAGACGTGTCCTTTTCAAAGCTCAGCAACACGTGCTGCTAACTGCTGATCTTTTCCTGTAGCATCCACCTATCACCAAAAGCAGCACAGCTTGGTATCAGCAATGCTGTATGTGCTCGGAGTTTCAGCAACAGAATGAGCAGGACTGAATTAGCATAATTTCCTCATTTTACATATGCTCGTTTCATCAGACACACTGAACAAACCATGACTACAGCAAACATAATCCTGAATGTCTTTCTGAATTCCCTAGGAGCAGAAGCAAACTATTCTACAACGGAAGGAGACACAAGATTAAGGAGGCAGAGGACAAAGTATACTGTCCCTCATCTGTATTTACAGTTCTGCATAAAATCACAAAGGAGTTCCACTTATCAGTTAGATTACTGGAACAGCATCCCACCCAACAGCACAGCAGGAAGAGTTACTTGGTGTGGAACATCACAGTGAGTTAAAAGAAAGAAAAAAAACCCCACACACTTAGAAATTATTTTAACTGTGCCAAATAACACCTGAGCCTTTGCAGCTCTTTTCAGATTACTAGTTATTCCACAAAAAGCTGTTAAAATCCAAAGTAATTCAGTTGATCAGCTGAGAACACAAGAACAGAAACTCATCTCCCAGCAGGCAGTAACTCACAGAGAAGGATACAACCACAGTATCAACAGCAGCAGGGTACAGTTTTGCTCCAGGAGACGTCAGGCCAGGGCACATTATATTGGCTCCGCTTAGTACAAACTTAATGGCGCCTTTATCAACCTGCTGATGTGGCAGAATAAAAGGGTCTAGGAGGGGAGAGACACAGCATTACAGTTAACAGGGCACAAGGACCACACACAGAACCCGTTACCAAGTCAAGTTTAGATGGGGCAATTAGAGCTAGAGTGTGCTGCGAGGGTAGGAAGCTTGAGAAGCAGTTAGCAGAGCTCCTGCTGGGCTGTCCTGTCCCAGAAGGACCCAAGTTCTGTTCTCCCAGACCACACCTTCTACCAGAGAGCCAAAGGGTAACCCAGCACCAGGCCTGTGCCCCCTGCAGACTCAGGCACTCATACACTAACAATTTTAACAAGTTCCTCCAGAGAAAGCCACCAGGTAGGTGCCCACGTGACGAGAGGCCTTAAAACCAAGGGGTCTTAAATCCTTCAAATGACATCTGTAACCTCTCACATGAAAAAGCAGCTGCTTAACATTAACAGGACAAGAAAAAAGGCAAAGATGGATGAAATTCATGAAGGCTGTCAGCTCTCCAAGCCAGCCTTAAAGTGCATACACCTTCTTCAAGTGTTTCAAACATGGAGATCAGACTGAATAAAATTTTTAGGGACACCTACACTCACCCAAGTAACACAAGCGAGCAGGAGAGAGAGAACAGCAAGAAAAATAGTGCAAGGTTCTTTATAAGTAAAGAGCATGCATCATAAATTCTTATAGGAGACAAGAATACACAACATCACTGAACTCATGACTAAAGAATGTTTTCCTATGAAGAACCTGCAGTATTTGGAAGGAACCAAAAGGGATTTAAAGGAAAACTTGAAAGAACAAATAGACTAACAGCAAGAAGTTTAGATCTCTGCCCTAGGGAAACCTCTCTCAAGTTTTTTTAGCACAGCTTAGCACAATTTAATTCTTAGAAATCAAAGTTCAGGTTGCTTAACATACAGGGTTATGATAATTATGGGGGAAGCAAACCAATTAGACACCTGAAATAGGAAAGCAATAAACTACAGTTGAGAAGGTATAATATATATTCCAGAGCAGAACTTAAAGTTAGACATGCATGCAAGTAGAAAGTCATTTCTAATTTAGTTCTCTAGAGGTCCTGTGGAACCAGGTACTGACCCCTTCTCCCCCCACTGCTGTCATCCTCATGAAACTTACATTTGTGAAGCAACCTTAGTGTGGGGTAAAAAATCCCTTCTCTTTGTCTGAAGAACAGCAACTCCCCATTCACAGTGAGGATTTCTATATGTTCATGACTGCAAGAATTAAAAAAAAAAAAAAAATAATAATAACTACTTAACTCTTTTACAGTTTAAAAGAAATATGTCACTTCATAGAGCCTGGTCTATCTTGGCATCTGAAAATTAAGACAGTCAATTTGCAAGAAAATTTAAAACTAGAACTTTTTTAAATGGCTTGTTCTTCAACACTGGCCTCCTGCACACTCAAGGGAAATAAAAAGAAAGAAACAAAGAGAAAACCTACAGACAAACATCCAGCTGTTCAAAAACTGTATTTCTTTAGGTCTTTGTAAATGCAACACAGAGAGTGGACAAGGAGAAGAAAACAGCAAATCTACACTCTATGTAAAATCAGTAAAAGAATCCAGATAACATATGGAAGCCCAAAACCAATACACAAAAGCTACTGGAAGCTACCCAAACAAGTCTGAGCTCCCATACCCATAAAGCTGAATGCTTTATGCCAAGGGAGTGACAGTATTTCAGGAGCTGGCTGAGAGTTCCCAAACATGTTGCATGCTCACTACTAGGCAGCATTCTTGTTTCCCTCAAGCATCCTGCTAGCAAACACCTTCAAAAGCATGAGGAACACACACAAACTTTCTGCTCTGGCCATTATTACCAACTAAGAAATGACAAGATGCTTTTCAAAAACACTGGGTTCATCTACAGTACAAAATAAACCTACAAAGGAAGCGAAACTATCACTTTGGAAGCAAAGTTTACGAGAAAAGAAACTTACCATCTTACTATTTTGACTGGGTCTTTCTTTGGCATAATTTGGTTTAGCCATGGTTCAATAACAGGAAACTGGTCTATCAGCTGGTTCTTAATACCTTTAATAACTGAAGTCTTCAGCTGGATGCAGTTTGACACATTCTCCTTTTCATCAAATCTGCCAAGGGAGTGACAGTATTTCAGAAATACACAATTTGCTGCCCCAAAGATGCTGCATCTCAGCAGCTTAAAACAAGCAGCACTACACCCATCCAACTTTCAAATCTAGGGTTTCACAAGGCTTAAAATTTGTCCCCTGAGAACACTGGGCTGAGGGAAGGCAGGGGGGTCCCTACTAGTGGGTCATCTTTGTCCCTGAATGGGACACCCTAGTGGGAGATGTCCTTGCCATGGGCAGGGACGTTGGAACTAGATGATGTTTAATGCCTCTTCGAGCCCAAACCATTCTGATTCTAAAGTTTGTATACATTCACAAAACATGTTTTCAGTCCCACAGAAACAGCTTGGGCACACAGCGGTATTTCATTCCCCTGGCAGAGCACTCGTTGCTGGTAACACCAGCACCTAGAGATTCCTACTTCGGGCGGATTTTGAGAGCCCTTCCCCTTGCCGCAGACGTACGAGCCGCGCCTTGTACGACCCCGAAGTTTGGACAAAGCGATGACTCAGCTCTCTCTGGAGGGTTTTTTCCAAACAAGCAAGCGCCCCAGCAGCCGAGCCCAGCGCGCCCG